AATTTTTGCTTTCATGAGTTTAAAGACTGCATAGAAATCTAACATTCACCTCTTAAAACGGACTTCTCTTTGAAAATCACTTGTTCAAATGAGACAATTAATTTGTTTCTTGTTCTAAGTTATAGTATTCCTGTGCTTTGAATTTTTTAAATTTTGATTTATGAAGATTTCATTGAGTTAAGTGGCATGTTAAGGTAGCATATAAAATAAAAACCACATAACTCTTTGCTTTTTCTTTCATGACAAAACAAGTGATTTTGATGAAGTTATTTCCAAGAGTCAGGCTCTATAATCTCCAAATGTTGGCTGCTTCTTGACATGCTTCATTCTTTTGGCAGCTCCTCTGGGTAAACTATATCTGACTCTCTCTGAGTCCTCTCATTTACGTCAGTTATGAGTTGTGTGTGAAGACCAATTGCAGCAAACACTTTCTGTTTTTCTTCCGTTCCAAGGAATAGACAAGATATTTGGACAGCATGATTAATGATGAAGTCAAATTATTTCATCCCATGAAACATGATGAAGTGTCCAAACTGCAGCCACAGATATTCTGGGTTTTCAGATTTGAGTAAGTAGGCATTCAACCAAAATTGAATTTCATTTCTTGAAAGCTAGCAGGTGCATGCATGTCCACTAATTTCATTTTGGTAATATTCTAAATTAATTTAGAAAGAGAAACCTTTAAAACGTGAACATTGTGTTTTTGAAATCATTTCAAATATATAAAAATTGTAAAAATAATACAGTGTCTGTGAATCCTTTACTCAGTTCCAAACATTTTTCATTACCTGGTGCATTTGTCAAATCTAAGAAACAAATCAATGTTGGTCATGCACATTACTCTTTGAACTAAACTCCAGACTTGATTCAGGCTTCACTAGGTTTTCCATTAAGTCCCTTTTCTGTCTCAGGATGCAATCTAAGTTAGTTGCCGTGTTCTCCATATTTTTGTCTAGGCCGTAATAGTTTCTCAGTCCTTTCCTATTTTTCATAATCTTCACAGTTTTGTAGAATGCTGCTCAGCTACTTCAAATTCTTCAATTTGGACTTGAATATTTTTTTTCATGATTATACATCAGTTATGAATTTTTGGAAAGAATATCAAAGAGTGCCTTTCTTATGACATCATGCCAGTGGGTATGTGACATCCTCATGACACCATACTGAAGGTGTTAACCATCATTTCTTGCTAAAGCGGTAGTTTTTCCTGTTTCTCTCCCTGGGGAAGTTACTATTTTTTCAGAATTTGGCACTTCAAGACAACGTAACAAACTAACCAATGCCACAGAAGAGAGTTATGCTGTTGTACCTTAGTTTCTTTATTTGTAAACTTTACCTTCCATAAAGATAATAGTAATGTCTACTTCACAGGGTTGTTTGAAGACTGAATGAGTCAATATTTGTAAAGCACTTAGAGGAGCATAAAATAAAAGCTTTGTACCTTGGGTAGGTGCAGAGGGTTAGTAAATCGCTCAGGGTTTGTGGCAACTAAATATAGGAAGCAGCTTGTTTCATATTTACCCAGAATCCTGTAAGCCCTTATAATTTAACTACTATGTTTGTTGAGGAAAAAACAGATGTTAAGTTTTCTCCCTAGACAAAGGAGATATAAGAGGAAAAAAAAAATACCTCTGCATGCCTTTCTGACTTCACAACTTAATAAAACCAGCACATATTGCAAGTACAATTAGAAAACAAAAAAAATTTCAAGTTTTCAATAATTACTTTCACATTTGTAGACAGTTTCCCATTAAATCCCAGTAAAATAGTAACCACACAAATTCTCAACTACTCATGAACTAGTCACAAAATTATGACCTTTAGATTACTTCTCATTTCCTTCTCCCTGATACAAACTTTAATCTCTTTTTACTTTTCTGGGTTTTTTTCCCCCAGGATCACAGTGATAAATACTAGAGTGATTTTTTAAATAGTCATTCATTTTGTACATCTTTTTCAATAAATGAGTCTTTTATTCAAACTCTTTTTTAGTAGATGAAATGATTGAAAGTGGAATCACAAAATCAATGATTCATCTTAGCAATAAAAAATAAAATCCCATCTATGTGCATCTCATAATAGAGCACACATATGCCTTCCTTGATGAAAGTCTGAAATATATTTTTTTGTAACTCTCAATTGATTTTTAAAAGTTTTTAAGTGTGTAGCGCTGACTACAGCAGGAAACTGCTGAAGAGGTTACTTTGCCTTTCTACTTTCGTTGAGTCAGTGCATTCTGGGTATCCTTTCTGTCAAGAAATTAATCAGGGACATGGGGAAATTTACTGACAAGGACTCAACCACAAATACTATCTATAGTGTTTAAGCACAACATGTCAGCACATGTATTCCACTGTACACCAAAATTATTGTGATAGCACTGTCTCCAATTAGCACCAGTACCAAGGGCATTCTGGACACCCAGATGATGGTGGTTTTATGAACTTTATTCTAGGATCTGCCTTGATGTCTAACAGACACATTGCTACTCCATATGGTGTTGTATGCAGTTAGACACAGTTGGGGTCAGCAACTGATATAGAAAATTTTGAATGTGAAAAGGAAAATTGGGGAATGAACTTATTTTTTAAAATATCTTCAAAGAAGGATTCACAACAGGTTGAGTTTCTGTTTGGGCAATATTGGAAAAAACTGTTCCCACTTTATTTAACAAACATTTATAAGGCACTTAATCCATGCCGGTGCTTTACGAATGTTGACTCATTTTTCATAACCACCTTGAGGGAGAAACAAAGAGGTTTAACAAATTGCAGGTGATATGGGAATTATGTGCAGCTAGAGCTACTTGCCCGGTGGTTGACAGGGGGCACCTGCTAGTATCTGTTGAGCTGGGCAGTTGGAAACCCTGTCCTGCAGACCTGTGCCTGTAGGGCAGAGGCCATTAAGTTTCTCCTCTCCCTGCTCCTATTGTATTGTATTTCAGGTTTCTGTGATAAAGATCTGAATACAACTTGGAGAAACAAACTCACGCCCTGCCCTGCCCTGCCCTCTAAAACCCAGTGATGAAAAAGTTCTCTAAAACTCCTGGAGAAAAAGCGATCAGAGAGAGTCAGGTTGAAAGAATTTTAACCTGGAATGATGGTGCAATGTGATGATCATTACTATCCAAAGACACCAATTGGTGTGAATATACTATGTGTACAACCAGAGATAAGAAAAATTGTGCTCTATATATGTAATAAGAATTGTAATGCATTCTGCTGTCATATTTAAATTTAAAAAATTACATAAAGAAAACAAAGATTTTGAAATCGCTCATCAGAAAACAGAGACATGTGTTTCTAGAGAAAGAGGACCAACGTGGAATACAAGACAGCCCCGTATTAAATGAAATGGGATTTGTGTGTGTGTGTGTGTGTGTGTGTGTGTGTGTGTGTGTGTGTGAGAGAGAGAGAGAGAGAGAGAGAGAGAGAGAGAGAGAGAGAGAGAGAGAGAGAGAGATTAGTGTTTCCTATCTCATTTGCATGATTCTATTTGCTGCTCTAGGGCACAAGCGCTGCGCAGCGGGTACCCACTCCCTAGAGTCCAAGAGCCTGCTACTCAGTGTTATCAGAAAAGCTAACTCCTTGAGCCTGCTCCACCCATCCCTCTGCTCTTCGGCTTAAGAGTGGCCAACAGTCCGGTATTGCAAAGATCAAAGTTTAACCCCTTATACGTGGGATATTAGATCTCAGGGGAATTTCAGAGGTCGCCAACATTTCAGAGGGAAGAAGGAAGTTAGTCAGGATCCAAAGAAGAGGTCGTGTTACATTCAACTGTTGACGTTGATCCCCATTCCCACCAAATGGAAAACGCAAACAAGATAATTGGGGATTGAGGATATACAACATGAGAAGCAAGTCGAATATTCTCTTCAATCTGCGATATTGGCTCAAGTTTTGAACAAGAGAATGAATTTCAGGTGTATATACAATAAGCAAAATCAAAAATTAGGGACATACACAGGAAAGGTATATAGTGAACTAAGCAAAACCTAGGACCCCCTTCACGCTCTTCCTTAAACCCCCACGTCTGATAACTAGTATCGTCCGCTTCCTCTAAAAACTTGGCACCCTCCTGCAGTGGATCTCTCAGGCTCTCAGGATCTCCCAGCTCTTGCCTCCCTCTTTGCCCTATGCACTAAGGTCACTGGATGCCCACAGTCCCCCTCGCAGGTGGTTTGGGATACAAAGCGAACAGCCCAGAGACCCCGGGAGTTAGGCAGGAGGGCCAGGCGGGCGGCACCGGTGTGTCCCCCCTGCTCCAGCCAGGGGCAGGGCGGCGTCTTCTTTCCGCCCTCGGGGAAGCACCCGGAGCTCTGGGAATTTCCCTGGCCAGGGGCTCTGGCCTTTCCCGCCAACCATGCATAAAAGGGGCTCGCGGATCCCCGAGAGCCACAGAGCCAGGACAGCAGCCCCTCGCCACAAGCTCTTGCACTCCAGGCTCCGCCGCGATCCTCCCGCTGAGTCCCATGGCCCTCACCGCCTCCGCCGTCCCCCGCGCTCAGCGGCTCCTCCGGGTCGCTCTGCTCCTGCTGCTCCTGGTAGACGCCTGCCGGCGCGCAGCAGGTGAGACCCGCGTCCTGGGGTCCCCAGGATGGGACTGGGATTGAGGGTACGGTGTGAGGAGGCCTAGGATGGGGACAGCCCCGCTAATCCGGTCTCTTCTCCTCAGGGGCGCCAGTGGTCTCTGAACTGCGCTGCCAGTGCTTGCAGACTGTGCAAGGAATTCACCTCAAGAACATCCAAAGTGTGAAGGTGACGTCCCCAGGACCCCACTGCGCCCAAACAGAAGTCATGTAAGTTCCTTGCGGTCAGAGGCTGCTGCCCTCCACCTGGCTCCCCTCCCCCCGCCCCTTGCCTCACTGGGATCCTCCCTTCTCTCTGCAGAGCCACTCTCAAGAATGGACAGGAAGCTTGTCTCAACCCTGAGGCCCCCTTGGTCAAGAAAATCATCCATAAGATGCTGAACAAGTGAGTTATGGTTTCTATTTACACGTGTAAATGAAGTCATTATATTAGGAAAACCCATGGGTGGCTGACCGACTAGAAATTGTGACTGCTATTTCAACAACTTAGCCATAAAATAATTAATGTGCTAGGGAAGAGGGGCGAAATTTATTTCCTAGGTTTTGCATCCCCACCAGAACCCTGTCTCTATTCCAGTGAGTGTAGGTAACAACTGCCTTCTTTAAAACTGATAAATGTTAGTTAGGTATGCTAAAGAGCTTTCCACTTGTTAAAAAATACATCCCTCCTGCCACAGTCCCTTCTGGGGTTCAAATCTGGTATTTTGTAGCATGAGGCCCTGAAGTTTAGTGGTGAAAAGATTTTGCAGCAATGTTGCAGAGTAGAAGTCTGGATTCCCCCAATATCTATTCACTTTTGGCTCAGGATAATTATTTCATTTTATCTGAAACTTAGTAAAATAAGGGAAATAATAGTATTTCATGAGCTAAACGAGGCCCAGTGTGACAGACAGCAATAGGTTCCGGTTGTTAGTAGAACATATCTGTAATAGAATAGAGAACACGGACCTCCTCCCCACCCCCCATTCCTAAATGAGAACATCCACCATCCTAGAGGTCTCTGCTACTAGCTCAGCCATCACAGGCATCAAAGTCCTCTTGGAGCCAGGCTGGGAAAACTGGATTCAAAAACTCTGGAGCTGGGGGGACAGAATGCTGCACAGTCACCTTTCCTGAGCGAGCAGCTATTTAAAGACAGCAATTTTTTCATTCTAGTGGCAATTCCAGCTGACCAGGGGAAGGAGGAAGTTCCTTGGTGACTGTTCCTGACACAGGACCTGACTTCATATGAAAAAGAGATGAAAAGATAGCTCCCGAGGCCACCTGGAGTGGCCTTAGTATGCTTGAACATGTCTTCTGAGAGCTCTTCCATTTATTTATTTGTTTTCAAAGATTCTATTTTAATATTTTATTTATAAAATAATTAAGGGTATGATTAAACCTACTTGCACATGGTATCATTATATTTATTGTTCATTTTATATCAAATCCAAATTAGTTCAATTCTGATTCTTATTTAATTTGTCATCTGAGGGATCCAAGCAAACAGAAAGTGAGATCATTGTCAGGGAAGGAGAATGTGCATACACATCTATTTTTGTAACTCTTTAAAAAAATGTCAGTTGCTATTTATTGAAATGGCTTTCCAGTACATAGTCAACATTTCTCATGGTGAAGCTTTATGAACTACAATGTTCTAAATATCCCTTGGACATTTTATGTCTTTCTTTTGTAAGGCATAATGCCTTTTTTTATTGCTGGTTATGTAATATGTTACTATGTCTTAAAACAAAGAGGTTTAAATATTAATGTTTTTACAAAGAATGTGAAAATAAAGTATTTAAAAATAAAGAATGTTTATTTTATTTCCTGGAGGGGAAAAGGGATATCTTTACTAGATAATTTAATGATTTACATCAGTGTTTCTCAACCTTATCTTCCTGGGGATTCAATTTGCTGCGTAGACAAATCATGAGTCATGCCTAATTTCATCTGGTGATGGATCTCACTTCTCTTGGCTCACAACTAATTAAGAATGTGCTTCTCCAAGCTGTAGGCTACTCTTGATGTGAGAATTATTAATGTAGCTGGATGATGGATGGATGGATGGATGGATGGAGGAAGAGATATAGATGGGTGTAGACACAGATATTCTTTAATGAAGTTGACAATGAAATGGTGGTAGAGTTAATTTTTTTTTCTTCAAAACTATTTACATGTGTCATCAGTAGAAGCAGAAAAAGTGAATGTCTGAGTACCTGTAAAAAAAGACTAAGCTGCAATTCAGGTTCAAGTTTCTAACTCTCATAAACATAAGAAATTACCACCAAGTTTAATGTTTTTCTAATTCTTTATACTAATTATATGAAACATGGCTCTAAGATTTGACTACATCAGTTCCCACCCTTCCTAGTGAAGTTTATGTAGAATTTGATACAATGTTTATCCTGGGAAAGCCTTTGGATAGCTTGGTATTCAATGCTGCCCAAGGATGACAGCAGCAATCTATGTTTCCAAGAGAGACAAAAATGCCATGTCTAAAGAGAAAATGTATCAATAAAAAAGAAAGAAATTCTAAATCTGAAAGGAAAGAAGAAATTTTGTACATGTGTGAGGTGTGTGCTCATCTCCAATTTAGGACTGATTCAGGAACCCCTGAGTTTAGGTAAACACCTCCAGCAGATGCAAGAAGGCTGGTCTTTCTGCCTGAATGCTTCAGATCGAGTTCTGGCTTGGCTCAAGTAGCTAGGTAAATAAGGCCCTAAGCAGCAGGAAACAATCTCTCTGAGTTTTTTTCCTCACATCCAAAAAGTTAAAAATTATCTCTTCATAACTCCCAGATATTAATTGTGAATGAGATAAAAGAAGAAAGGAAGAAAGTTTATAAACTGCACAGTAATAAATAAATACAAACCATTCCAGAAATTCCATAAATACTAGCATTTACTCTCTAACCCTGAGTTAGAGGACACTGGGAAATGTTACAAATAGGACCCAAGAGCTCAATAAAGCCACAACTTGAACCTAAGTTCAGGCTTTATTTTCAACATTGTCTGGAGCTTGCTGTTCTGGATGCTGTGTTCCAGTCAATATGGAACACAGAAAACAAGAAGGACAAAAGAGATGATTTTATTTATATGATGGTTGAAGACAGATTTCAAAGGATCAGATAAACTTTGGGGTAAATTCCAACTATATCACTGTAATCCTGAGCAAGTTTTGTGACTTTACTTGACTTTATTTCCCCTTCTATAGAATGAAGATAATAACAGAGTATATACCTTCTGAAGTGATTCAATGATTAAATGTTATTGATGGCTACAAAAAACTGCTTCTCGTCCTGGGTTCCCAGGACAATGTCATGGACACATCTAAGTCTTTAGATCAAAAGAAAATGTAAATTGTAGTTTCCATAACAAATCACCCTATACCTTCAAAGTGCACAGCAGTTTCCTATGGGGGAGTGTTATGGCAGGAAGTGAGACACAAGGGTGTGTGAGGTGGTAGTCCAGGGTGAAGGAAGTAGGAAAAAAATTGTATGTATCATATCTTCACTGCATGAGGCGATCCACAGGAAACAGCAATGACCAGAGGGACTGAGGTTTCCTGAGAAATGCTACCAAAGGAAACAGTGGAGAGGAGGAAATATGGTTGAGGCTATTCTGTCATTGCAAGTCCTTCTTTGTAAGGTCTCCTGAGATGTCCTCTCAAGACTCCCAAATATAACAGAAGAGACATTGGGGGATGGTGGAGGTGGAAGACCCACATTAGAACAGTGGGGGGCATCCAGAAAAGGCGTGATAGTGTTTCTTTCTCTGGATACCTATCCAACTAATAAGGAAAAGGGCTAGTCCCATGTACATCACCAGTGTCCCACTTCACATCCCTCCATTCACCAATGAGTTCAGCAGTTGCAGTGGGCAACAGCTTCTCAACTTGACCTCTCTGTTCTTCAACTTCTCTTTCTGAGTGCTTTGTTTGGGAAAGGGGACTTGGCAGAGAGTCGGCACCATTCCCATTCCAGAAGGCCTGTGATTTAATGCCCTATGGTTTAGAGGAAACCCTTATGGAAGGACAGAACTTAGTAGATGAAGACTCTGTTTTCCCAGTCCCTTGCTTAGACAATGCTAGAAATTTTTTTCTTCTCTCTTTCTCTTTATAAATATGTGTGTGTGCATAAAGTTATAATAATATATAATATATATCATCATATATTATATATAATATATATACACACATATGTGTGTATGTATGTGATATTTTTAAATAAATAAATTTTATTGTATCCTAAGAAATTTATTTTAAAATAAAGCTAGATATAGTATAAAATAAATATATAAAATACGTAAAATTTCTTCGCTCTTCATTATGTTCACATTTTCATTTAGACACCTGAGCATATTTAATAGCTATTTTTAAATCCTTAGCCACTAGTTTTATCATTCTGTCATTCCTGATTCTGTTAATATTGACTAATTCCTCCACTTCCCCTGTGGCTCAGGCTGTTCCATCTCTTGGCACTCTTGGCATGTGCGTAATTTTTTTTTAACTGGATACAAGAAATTTTTCTTATTATCATGTATTAACTTGTGCCTATTAATGGGGTTCAGTGGGATATTTCCATACATGCATGCAAGGTACATTGATCAAATCCAACTATCCTTTTTCCACTTTCCCCAGGACAGCACTCTTCTCAATACCTAATAATCACTATTCTATTTTCAAATTAACTCTTCTTTCTTTTTCTTAAGTTTTCCCATATGAGAGAATATTTAGTCATTCTGGGTTTGGCTTTTTTCACTTAACATAATGTCCTCCATTTCCATCAATTTTCTTGCAAAAGATAGGATTTCATTCTTTATGTCTAAATAATACTCCATTTTGTGTATGTACTACACTTTATTTTTTATCCATTCATTTGTTGATGGGCACCTAGGTTAATTTCATCTATACCTTAGCTATTGTGAATAGTGTTTTAATAAACATGGTAATGCAGGTATCTCTTTTATTTTCTTAAGACATATATCTAGGTATAGGATAGGTGGATCACATGGCAGTTCTATTTTTAGTTTTCTGGGGAAACTCTATACAGTTTTTCACAGCGGTTGTGCTAGTTTACATTCTCAACAACAGTGTATAAGTTCCTTTATCTCCACATTCTCACCAGCATTTTAATTTCATGCATTTTTTTGATAATCACCATATTAACTGGAGTAAGATGTCATCTTATTGTAGTTTTTGACTTGCATTTCCCCAATGGCTAATGAGATTGAACATTTTTTTTTTCATCTCTTGATTATCCATTTGCATTTCTTCTTTTGAGAAGTGTGCATTCAGATGACTTGTGTGTTTTTAAATTAGAATACATATTTTTGTTAAGCTCATTGAGTTACTTGTATATTCTAGATATTAATCATCTGTCAAATGAAAAGTTTGTAAGTTTTCTGTT